AGTTTACCAAGTGCGTGTGCCAGGCCCTGGTGATGGTGGCTCCACAACAGCTTTGCTGCATCCTTGGCAGCCAGCTGACGATCTTCGCACTTCTGCTGCTCTTTGGCTTTCTTGGTCGCTTCACGTTCCTTGCGCAATGTCTCCTGCTCCTCCTTCCTCTTCTGCCTCTCCTCCAGTTCTGCGCGTCCTGCACCGTACGTCAGTGGACCAAGCCTGAAACCAACACAACATAACAGCTAAATGTTGGAAAGAATAGAGCACATCACACCATACATGTACATTGGCTGGGACAATCAATTTCTAACTTGAAGAGGATAGGATTACTGTTGTGATCGTAGCGTACAACATGCATTACTTCATTGGATACACTCTGCAACTACAGTAACTAACCCCATTCTTACCTGAAGTCCTCTCCACCCAAACGTAGACTGTCAACATTGGCATCAGAGTCGGAATTCCCTGAATCCGAAGAGTCGGAGGGGTCGGAATAAGCCTCAATGCGAGCATTCTGCTGAAATTGTAGACAGCTGGTGTCCAGAACGACTTCTGAGGCATTTGACCGATCAAGCTTCTCCTGCGCAGACTCCTCACTCTTCTTCAGATCCCAGTATAGCTTCCGGTTGCAGCCTTTTGTTGCGGGATCAAAGCCAATCTCCTTCCATCCTTTGCGGCTGATGTCTGGATGGAATGCATCCTCCCATGGCTGCTTGATGACCTTAACCATAATAATATCTGCTGCCAGCAACCTTGGTGGTTCTCCTTTCAGCACTTTCTGTACGAGCAGATCCGACTTCATCTGTTTAGCCTTCCTCTTGAACATAGGGAAATTCGCTACATCAGCAACTTGTGATACATGGCTGGTGTGTGGCACACGCAACTGAATGGTCGTGCCAACTTCTTCCGCCGCCGTCACCATTGGCATTGTTGTATGGGCCCCATAGCCGTCGCATAGCCCATATGCCTTTTTGCCTTCCTTCTTCGGGAGACATGGCCCTACGACCTCTTTCAACCAGAGTGGCGCAAGTTGGTACGAAAACCCACCGGAGGGATGCGGGTAGAACTGGCATGGTCGACGGTCACCAGTTTCGGGATCGATCAAGTTGGATCTTGGGGGATCCTTCATTAGGCTGAGCTGCATACTCTTGGATGGTGGTGTGGCACATCCAGGCAAGGCATCACCATTCATGAATGAGCCACCTGTGAGGGTCCATCGGACACTGGACTTGTTCACTACGCACGTGCCATCATCATCACTGTCCACGGTCATGGTCTTCTCTGTGGGCCCCTTTCCGTCGTCTGTCTGGTCCAAAGTAAAGCCCGTCTGGTCCCACTCGAAAACCATATCTGGGTCGGTGACATAGAACATGATATCATATGGCTCTCTGTCCTTGAAGCTGTCGTTCTTCACAGCAATGCCACACTGAATCATACCATCCATCACGACGTCATACCAGGAGCAGAAGTGATCACTTGTTGTCCACCTCTTGCGGTCCATTTCCAGCCGGACCTGGTTTTTCATCTTAATGCCATAGCGGTTCCTGAACGAGTAATACCAAGCATAGGTTACTGGCTTGTCCTTGAACAAGTCAGCTAGCTCAGTTCCTTTGATGAGGTGGTTAGCTGCACCAACTATCAGCGACTTGCCTGCCTTTAGGTTCAGAGCACGTAATTTCTGTACGAACTCCACAAGTTGGACTTCATATCGCATTGGCAACTTCGCTCTCTGGCCAGTTCTGCATGGTGTCTGGACATTCACGACGGTAACATCAGGTTCCAGCGAAGCCACATATTCTCTCAACTTCAGGTGAAGTGTCGTGTCAGACACTTTGATGTTCATCAAGGCTAACAGCTCAGATGCTCTGCGCCCATCCTTCCGCAGATTGCCCGTGTGCATTGACTCCACGGCCCATTTCACGCCCTCACGATACATGCCCACCAATCCATGTGTCCCATACTTGACATTGTCACCAGGACGTGTGCATTTGGCTTTGATGGCAGCCTCCACTGTTGCCATGTCAAACTCTATGCCACCAGATGCAGATGGTGTGGTCACTGAACCATTGTCGTGAACATCTGGCAGAGGTGGAGGAGGAAGGTGCCCACTCTTGATGTTTGACAACACGCCAGACACCTCCAGTTCCTTCTCTATATGTCGGAACATCTGCCGACTCACGTCAAATGCATTTGCCGCAGCGGCCTTCGAACGAAATGCACAGCTCGTTACAGGAGAA